CGCCTCATGCGAAGGTTCATGTACAACTTCAGCAGACTGCTCACAATCTACTCTGATGAGGCCAGGCTCGAGGAGCACCTGGCCTCGCGTTCTGACATAGTTTTCCTTGCTGGGTGCAGCAAGAGGTTTGGGCGAGACGGCCTCCGCTGACTGCGAAGGCCGATTGCAATTTACTCCAGAGGCCGCCAAGCTCGACGAGCACCTGGCGGCCGCGCTCTGACGGCCAGTGGAAGACGCCACGGCCTGCTCGCAATCTACTCGTGAGGCCGCCAGGCTCGAGGAGCACCCGACGACCGCGTTCTGACGCCGCGAAGTCCCAGCACGGGTGGAAATCGAAGCAGACGAGCCAGCCGCAGGCGATCCTCTGGCCGAAATCCTCGTGCAGGGCCCCGTGGGCGAGGAGAGGTCCGCCGATCCCGTCGTGGCAATCGACCTCCGCTCTGCTGTGAGCGAGACTCCGGTGATGCCACAAGACTCCAAGGGGGCCCTAGCCACGGGGGCTGATGCAGCCAGGGGCCTCTCGCCCACAGTGAGTCTCGGAGCATGTGGCTCGCTGCGCTGCCCTTCCAGCGAACCCTCGCGTGGCGGGGGCTCCGCTTTCTCAGGGGGCGAGCGTGCGTCACCTGAAGACCTGGCAACCGACCGCGACCCACGCGAAGCCGTAGTCCCTGTGCCGTCACCCTCTTCGAGGGTCATCTTGACCCGATGGGCGGCGCCATCGAGAGCCCAGCGCTCTGCATCCGTGCTGAAGCTCCTCTCTGGTCGGGCCGCAGGCACAGAAAAGCCCCAATCGGGCCACTCGAGGTCGATCACGTTCTGCTGCCAAAAGAGGAAGTCCATTGGGATGGCGGGGCTACCCCAGCTTGGGCCTCTTGGCGAATGACCCGAGGCTCTCCAACAAACGCTTAAATTCGCCGTCATCATCCGATCCGACCTCGAACCCCGCGGCGACGAAGGCCTCACGCAGCTCCTCGTCTCCTGGATCGAACTGTGGAGTCCCAGGGGCCGCAGGGGCCGCTGCGGCAGGTCCGCCAGAGCCACCAGGAGCCCCAGCAGGCCCAGGAGGGCCACCCGCGGCAGGAGGCTCCGCGTCCATGGGCTTGGGGATCTGGGACAGGAGCTCCGCCCGCTTGGCGGCGGCCTGCGCAAGGATGGTGTCTGCTTGGAAGCCGAATCTGCCCCCGTACTTGCGCAGGCGCTGCTCCATGATGTCCAGCATGGCGAGCTCGTGGGAAGGGTCCACGGCGGTGCCCTCAGCGGGGGCCTCAGGCAAGCCACTCTTTGCCTGAGCGTGCTTGATGTGAGTCTCCAGCTCCGCCAGACTCTCGCGATGCTTGGCCAGCTGGTCGTTCTCCAAGTCGACAGCGGCGCGCGCATGCTCCAGGGCAACCCTGGCAGCCTCCGCGCGGTTCTGGGAGCCCTCGATCTGCTTGATCTTCCGTTGCTTGCGCTGCAGGAGGTCCTGAAGGCTCTTGGACCCCAAGTCCACAGGCTGCACTTCCTCCGCCTTCTTGAGCACCGACTCCAGATCCGCTGAGAGCTGGCCGCCCTTGGCCACGCCCTTCGCCTGCAGCAACTCCACCAGCTGGGTGACTGAGAGCGCGCTGGGGTCGGCGGCAGGTGCCCCTCCCCTGCCTCCGAGCTTCGGCGGGCCCTGGAGCCAGCGGTTGGGGCCCGCCGCCGCCGCTCTGCATCTGCTGCGCCTGCTTCTTTTGAGCTTGCAGAATGGCTGCAGGCGCGCGGTCTCCACATTCACGGCACTGCGACCTGAAGTGGAAGTTGAGGAAACCGCATCCACGACAATCCCAAGATTTCTTCTGAGTCCGCCATGGCGCGTCATCTTTGGTCATGAAATTGGCTCCGGCCAACTGCGCCACTTCCAAGTGCGCTGGTCGACAGGTCGTTGAAAGCTCAAAGCTCGAAACCTGGAAATGGCTGACGAGGAGGAGGAGTAGAAGGAGGAGGAGGAGGAGGAGGAGGAGGAGGAGGAGCAGGAGCAGGAGCAGGAGGAGGAGGAGGAGGAGGAGGCGGATAAGCAGGAAATGGAAGGGGGGATGTGGAGGCAGGAGGCGGAGGAGCAGCGGAAGAAGGAAGGGAGGAGGAGGATGAGGAGGATGGGGAGGAAGAGGGGGGGAAGGCTGTCGAAGGGCACCCCAAGGCCTGAAAGAACATGCCAATGATGGCCATCATCGCGAGGCGGCCGTTGGCCAACTCGGCATTCAACTTCTGCTTACGCGCCTCGCCGGGCTGGGGCCGACGGGCTTCTTCGCTGGGCTCGCGAGGCTGGGGAGGAGGGGGGAGGAAGATGAGGAGAGGACGGATAATAACGGGGAGGGACCAGGATTAGGAGGAGGAGGATGAGGAGGAGGAGGAGGAGGAGGAGGAGGGAAGCGGAGGGAACATCATAACACACGCAACAAACAAACAAACACTGATGCTGTGATACGCCCTCCCGTGCAACATCGCCCCCTGAGATATTAGTATCAACATGTCGTGCCACCCAGGCGATCGCCCACTGGAGGGGCGATTGCCCCCCACATGGGCCTGTGTGGTGCTGGCCTTGTTGTTTGACACGCGCGTCGGCGATCCCTCCTCCTCCTCCTCCTCCTCCTCCTCCTCGTCCTCTCCTCGTCTCTCCTTCCTCCTGCTCTGCTCCTCCTCCTCCTCCCTCCTCCTCCTCCTCCTCCTCCTCCTCCTCCTCCTCTCCTCCTCCCCCTCCCCCCTCCCCCCCCTACCCCCCCTCTCCCCCTCCCCCTCTCCCTCCCCCTGCCTGCCTGCCTGCCTGCCTGCCTGCCTGCCTGCCTGCCTGCCTGCAAGACGACGTGACCTTGCAAGGGAGTCGCCCTCCGTTCATGTAGCTGGTGCAACCTTTGACAAATCACCGAATGACGAGCACGAGCTCGGAAAGGAGGCGCCGTCCATGCGACTGGTGAGCTTTCAAGATCTGGAGCCCCACGACGTGAGGAAGTCTAGGCCAAGATCTTCAAACGGAGCCGCCCGCCATCCCTGTGGCTGGCGAGCGCTCGAATCTTCAGAACGCTCAGATGTGGATGGCTCCCAAGCGAGAGCGCGGTTTTGAACACGAGTCGCTATCCGTCCTTGTAGCGGTTGGGGAAATGCAGACGTGTATCGTCGTAGAGTGGGCGGACATCACTTTGTCAACAAAAACACATCAATCTGCGTAAATTTTGATATGTTAAACTTACTTGTCACGCAAGTTACGGAAGTCCCAGCGCGATCACGATCTTGGAAAGTGTCGCTCTCCATCCCAGTCGCTGTTGGAAGCGTCAAGCTTCAAGCGTGAGAACATCTGAAACGAGAACGTCCAATTGACCGTGACCAATGCTCGGTGCGGAACGTTCTCCGCAGAATCCGCGATACATTACGTGGTCTGGAGACCCGCGATAAAGCGTGAAATCACGTGGGTCCCATTCGCCTCAGGTCCCTTTCGCCTCACGGAGGAGCAAGCGTGAAGCCACTCCCTTGCGCTTGCTCCGCTTTGGGACGCAAAAGGCCCACGTGTTTTCACGCTTGCTGCGCTCTGGGGCGAAAAAGGGGCCCGTGTGCTTTCGTGCTTGCTGCGCTCGGGGGCGAAACGTGCCCGCGTGCTTTCGCGCTGGTTCCGCTCTGGGGCGAGAAGGGGCCCGCGTGCTTTCACGTTTGCTGAGCGCTGGAGCGAAAAGGGTGTGTGGTCGCGTGTCCTGGCCACCCGGGGGCGGTACCCCCCCTCTCAGGTGTGAGGGAGGGCACAAGGGCAGAACAAACTCAACGCATCGGCACTACAGTCGGGGCCTCGACCTGGGGAACCCTAACTAAGGAACGAGGCCCCTGCTTTCCATAAGTTGAACTTCGATTTCGCATCGGAAACCTAAGGAAAATCCAGGGCAAGCTGCGAAACAATTAAGGAACACGGAGCCCCTCCCCAACGAACAGGGTTCCTGCTTCAGGGCCCCGACTGTAGATGTAAAATCATTTGGCACGTTCCGTCTTGGGGTTCCGGTGAGGCCTCCTGGGGCTTCCTGGGGCTTCCTGGAGGGGACCCGCGCGTTTTCACGCTTACTGCAGTCTGGGGCGAAGAAGACCCACGGTTTCCACGCTTGCTTCGCTCCGGGGCGAAAGAGGCCCACGACACTCCACGCTTGCTGCGCTCTGGGGCGAAGAGCACCCACGCGTTTTCGCGCTTGCTCCGCCCTGGGGCGAAAAGAACCCGCGTGTTTTCCCTCTTGTTCCGCGCTGGGGCGAGCCTTGCGCCGCTCTGGGGCGAAAAGAGCCCATGTCTTTTCACGCCTGCTCCGCTCTGGGGCGAAAGGGGCCCGCGTGATTCCACTCCTGCGCCGCTCTCGGGCGAGCCTTGCTCCGCTCTGGGGCGAAACGAGCCCACGCTGCGCCGGTCGTTGCGCCCACCCAGACAGCGTGTTTTTACGCATGCGGGCCACCCACGGGGGTACTCCAGATTTCGTAATAAAGGGAGGCGGGTCTCATTTCGGGGGGGGTCTCTTCCAGGCTATCTTGGAGGGCCTGGGGGGGTCTGGGGACGATGTTTTGGAGGGTTCTCCCACGGGGGGGATCTGAAATGGCTTGTCTTGGAGGGTCCAGACTCGCTCCCTTTTATTACGAAATCTGGAGTATCTAACATGTGGTCGTCTGGGTGCCCCAAGCGTGGGGGCCCACAAGAGACAGACACACTCAAGACAGCAACACCATATGTGTAATAACCTGGCGCAGTTTCTTCGGCTGGTGATCAACCATATTTCCAACAGGGATGCCGAACATGGTGGCCGCGAGCTGGAACCACGCGTTATTCACGTGTCCAGGCCACCCAGGTGGATATCTAACATGGTGGCCCACTGCTGGAACCACATGTTTCCATGTCCAGGCCACCTAGGGCGGTATATAATATGGTTGCTCCGAGCTGGAACCATGTGCTTTTACATGTCAAGGCCGCCCAGGGGGGTATCTAACATGGTTGTCCCGAGCTGGAACCACGCCTTCACGCGTCCAGGCCTACACAGGGAGATATCTAACATGTGGTCGTGTGGCTCTATGTCTGGGTGTCTCGGGCGTGGGGTGCGGAACTGAATCGGATCTTGCTCTCGAGCTGGTCGAGCGCCCCGCGCGTTTCGATTGCAACTAGCCCGAGCTACGCGTTCAGACAGCTCAAGCTTAAGATTCAAATCAGTTCGGACAAGATTCTGACGCCAAGGACGGCTTGACCCACAACGCAATAGCGCATGGCACAGTTCAACGCACTGCATGTCCCCTGGCGCGTCCCCTGGCACTTCCATTGGCACGTTCCGTAGCGCGTCCCTGGAACTTCACTATGCGGCGCGGCACAGCGCAGAACAGCATAACACAGCCCTTGTAATAATCTCATCATCACTGATATCTTCAACATTGCCACTGCCCATCGCCCAAATGAGGTGCTTGGAAAGAAACAATATCATGCCTCGCAATTCTAAATCCCTTTCTGGGTTCGTGGGTCGATCATGTTTACTTTATCATCAGATCAGATGCTGTGAGCTTTTCTGTGCATGTGCTTGTGTGTGTGGCGTTAAAGCGAAGACGACATTTAGAAAATCACTGGCCCTCCACCGGAATGTAACCCGTGGAAGCCGTGATAACGAATGTACGCGGCGCCTATCAACAAAAACACACTTGAAAGCCAACCGCTCTCCATCCGCGGATCAGCTGGAGCTTTCAATCCGTATGATCATGTTGTGCGTCCCTGCGCCTGGACCGCCCAACCGATGCGTCTGCAAGCGCGACGAAGCGAAGCCATTTACAAGTAAGAGGGGTGGAGGAGTCGGAGCACGAGCTGGTACCACGTATTTTCGTGTGTCCAGGCCACCTAGGGCGGTATATAACATGGCTGCCCCGAGCTGGGACCATGTGTTTTCACGTGTCCAGGCCGCCCAGGGGGGTATCTAACATGGTTGTCCCGAGCTGGAACCACGCCTTCATGCGTCCAGGCCTACACAGGGAGATATCCAACATGTGGTCGTGTGGCTCTATGTCTGGGTGTCTCGGGCGAGGGGTGCGGAACTGAATCGGATCTTGCGCTCGAGCTGGTCGAGCGCCCCGCGCGTTTCGATTGCAACTAGCCCGAGCTACGCGTTCAGACATCTCGGGCTGAAGATTCAAATAAATTTGCTTGTGTCCTGACGCCACGGACGGCTTCACCCACAATGTAATACTGCACGGCGCAGTTCAACGCGGCATGTCCCCTGGCGCGTCCCCTGGCGCTTTCATTGGTACGATCTTTGACGCGTCCCTGGCACGTCACTACGCGGCGCGGCACAGCGCAGAGCAGTACAACACAGCTCTTGGCAGAACATCATCATTTGTATCTTCAGCATTGCCACTGCTCGTCGCCCACTTGGGGTGCTTGGAAACGTTCCCATGCCTCGCAATTCCCTATCTCTCTCCAAGTTCATGGGTCGATCATGTTTCAACAACATTCGGCTCCACAGGATAGACCTTTGTAGCGCGGTGTGAGGGGGCCGCATGGGGGGGGGGGAAATCCAGGTGAGCAAGCCAATGCCCGTGAGCCCGCACCAAAGGTAAATCCAGCGAAGAGTCACTTTTACGTGTGGCTGACATCTGGTCCTCGAACGGTCTGGACACCTTGCCAGGCACTGTTTTTTTCTTCCGAGTCGTCTGCTGACGGCCCTGGGTCGCGATTTTGCCACGACGCGGAAATGTCAGGGTGGTGGGGAGGAGGGAACTGGAGGGAAATCGGAGGGACATTTTTTGTTATCTATTTGAAAACAATTGTCGGGCAGCCACCGAACTTGGACACAAAACGACATACACAAACAGCAGGAGGACGGGCATAATGAGAAGGAAGGGGATGAAGGAGGAGGAAGGGCGAGGGCGGAGGGGGCAGAGGAGATGGGAGGGAGAGGGGTGCGCAGGAAATTCTGCAGCGGCAGCCCCTGGCTGGTTGCAGCGCCGTGCGAGCGCACGAGAGCGCTCAGAAGTCGCGCTGCAGGCGCCGACTGTCGACTGCGTCTGTCAGCCTCCCCAGCTACCTACGCACCGACAGCCCCTAAAACCTTCTGACACCTTCTCGTTCTCCTTCCTTCCACCATCCTTCCCGTCCTCCTCCGTTTGCCCCCCGCCCCCCCCCCGACTCTTACCTCTTTCCTATTTTCCTCTTCTCCCTCTTCCGTCGACTCTCTACCTCTCCACTCTTCCCCTCCCTTCCTCCCTTTGCACTCCTCCGTTTTCGTCCTCCC